ACAAACTTGCAGATATAAGACCTGAGCTCTTGCTAGTTCAAGCCTATTTGGTTTGAGCAAGTCCATTATGACTTTTACCACCAAGATTCTGTTATTAGAAGGACCATTTCCAGCCTTCTAGGGATAGTACTCTGTAAGCCACCATGCTAGATGGGGAAACAAAAAACAAACAGAGCACCTTGCTCTGCGGGAGGGTAGCAAGTAAGAGAAAATGAGTGAATGCACGGAGGAAGGACTGGATGAGAAATAAAGATTTAAGAAGTCCTCCTTATTCTTTTCTTATTTCTAATCAGTGTGTACCGTGCTTTACTATGTAGGTTTTCATGAGAAGCCTTTTGCCTCAAAAAAAAAAATCAGAAATTATTACTTGCAATAGTAGCCTTTGCACAAATTAACAAAATACTGCAATTTCTTGTACACTAAATTGTAGTTTGTGAGATTATAAAAACCTTTGGGGAAGCTGTATAAGAAAAATCCATCTTTCTGTCAGGGAAAAAAATCTCTTTTGTGCCATTTGCGGTTAACTTACTAATGAGTCTGGGAAGAGGAGCAAAGAGCAGAAATTGATCCTTGGCAACCAACAGCTGCCCAAGAAGTCGTCAGCATCCAGGAAGAAAAAGTTCCTTCAGCATTAGGTCCAAAGGGACCAAGTGACAACAATACTTACTACAGCATGTAGGATGGGGAATTCAAGCTTAGGACCCCTCAAAAGTTTTGGTCCAGGTTGAGAGGTCAAACGGCTGTTCCAAATTACAGGAAGCAAAATTCCTGACCTTAACACCTTGGCCTTCCCATATTCCTTTCTCCCTGAGCCTGGCCTCCTTTGCAGCTAAACTTGAGTAATGATCTCAAGACAGCTGTTTTCTTTAAAATGGTTTTTAAAACTCCTGTTATTCTCCTTTCTACAAGTAAAAATGTACCTATTAAGTTAAGATGCTTTCCAGGATTATTTGTCTGGCCTCTGCTTGCTCAATTACTGGTTTTTCCCAAATCTTGCAGCCTCCCTATTCAACCTTATTCTTTTTGACAGTTAATCTCATCAACTCAAGGTCAAGTGGGAAAAGCTCTAAAATTGGGAGATGGTGACTCTGGTTTGAATCCCAGCTCTGTCTCCTACCTACTGCAAGAATCGGGGCAAGTCACTTAGTTGCCCTAAAACTGTTTCAATTACTTGGTGGAGCACAAGGTATACGAAAATCTATAATGGAGGTACTGTCACAGAACAGATGGTCATAAAGATAAATTATATAATTTAAAGATGCTCTTTTAAAAACATATCCAATAACAAAGTACAGGAACAGGTCTTTTGGTAGTTTCTAAAATACAAACGATTCAATCGAATAATTCTAACTACCAAACCAATCAGGACTTTAGGAATATTCTAAAATTCTGTAACATTATGATGGGCTGAGAATTCAAGAGTTCAAAGCTGACATAGGTCCCTAGGATTCCTGACTCCCAGTTCAGCACTCTATGCTTCTTTAATTTCTCTTAATAGTAAATACTTTGCTGTTAACTTTATTAGTATTAACTGGTATAATCACCATTGGTATATTTAGATAACCATATAGTACTATGCTTTAGGTCTAAAATGTCCCACAAAAATCTATGTTCAGAAGTTAGGCTTTTAGGTGACTCGATCATGGGTGAACCATACTTATCAGTGGATTGGTGCATTGATGAATTCATAGCTGAATTTGCTGCTAAGAGGTGGGGCCTGATTGAAGGAGGTGGGTCACGGAGCCTTGACCTGGGAGGGTGTATTCTTCTCCCTGGCTATTCCCTTCTTTGTTTCTGGCTGCTTTCGTTCAAACAGCTTTCATCCACCAGGCCATCGTCCCTGCCTTGGAGGTAGCTAACCATTGACTGAAACCTCTGAAAGCAAAAATTCTCCTGGCTTTTGGCATGGTAGTGCACACCTATAATCTCGGCACTCTGAAAACATGAGACAGGATTGGGAATTTGATCTTAACCTGGGCAATTTAGCAAAACTGTCTCAAATTAGAATAAAAAAGAGGGCTGGGGATGTTCAGTTGGTTCAATACTTATTACTGGGAAATAGCAGATGAGGAAGAGAAAGGAGAAGGGAGGGGAGGGCAGAGGAGAGAAGAGTAGAGGGGAGGGAAGAGAGAGGAAAGGACAGGAGAGAACAGAAGAGAATAGAAGAGGCAAGAGAGAACCTCTCATGTTGCATCAGGTATTTTGTCCAGTGATGGCAAGGGGAACTAAAACACCATATGTAACTGTGCCTACTTATCACACACTCCAAACTGACGGGTTACTTTACTTATTTATAACACAGGTAAGTATTTACTGACACTCAGAAAAGTCCCACTGTACCAGTTTATATACGAAGATGTCAATATCACTTTGATTCTTAAGTACCAATCTCTCCTGAACATTGGTCTTCCACTCTTTAGCCATTGTTGCTTTTAAGGTTTATTTACAATAGCAACTGAGTGCCTGCTGTGGCCAGGAAGTGAACATGACACTGCCCATTGGCTCAAGGGGCTCAGTCCCATGGGGTAACAACCACTTCTTAGGGGTTGCTTTTTTCTTTCTTTTTTTTTGGTTTTTTTTCTGGTACTGGGAATCGAACTCACAACCTCACTCTTGCCAGAGAGGCGCTGTGCCACTGAGCTAAATCCCCAGCCCCAGGGGTTGCTCTTTAACAGGCATTTTTTCTCTGAAGAACTGCTGGAGTCCTCGTGGCAGTTTTTTGTTCTGTGGGTGTCTGTCCCACCGAAGGCTTGGGCAGGCAGCTCCAGCAAGAGTAGGGTGCTAGGGGAAAGTATTACTAGGGAAGCTTCACATTCTTCCAACATCTAAGCTCTGCCCGGCCTTCATCACTTCCCCCTCCTCTCCCTCATTCTTGGCTACTACTGACAACCACCTGAACAGGATTTCAGATAAAGTCCCATATATTCAAAGCTCAATTTTGGACCAGTGTAAAAAAGCCTTTCCAAAAGAGGTCCTGGAGTATATGAGATTTAAGAGAAACAATCAAGAGATAGGTGCCCAGTTTCTGCTACCACTAGTAAGTTCCACAGATGTTCTGACGTGAGAGATGGTATATCCAAGGCTCCCAGGGGCCTAGTCATTTCTGATCTGGCCAAATTCAAATGATTTAAAACCAAGACTACATCCATCTAGGCTTAGCTTTAATATTCACAACTTCAAACCCAAGTTTTGCTATGATTTATGAAAATGTCCTAATGTATAGACAGTAATAACCATCCAGTATAATTTTTAGTAAGCTCTTCTCACCAGGGACTCAGTTCCATTATCACAGAATAACAGCACAAGGTGGCGGAGAAAAACAAGAGCTTTGGCATTATGCCTAGATTTGAACCCCAACTATTCTTGAAATAGTTATTTAACCTTTTGGGAACAGTTTCTCCACTTAGAAAAGGAGAAATTACATGTATTAAAAAAGATGCTGTATATTTTGACCACAGAAAATGGCCAAAATTGATTTTGCTACTATACTTTTATGTTTACTTGATGCTGCTACAGCTACAATTGCTTTTAAAATTCCTTAAAATGAAAGTATCACCTTTGACAAGTACCAAAGACAATAAACGCTTATATAGAAAACACATTAGCTTATACAATCATTTAATCAATCCATTATTACACCCTTTGGAAAGGTTTCAAGATAATGTGAAAACCAGAGACAGCTATGGTGGCCTGTGATTATGCAAATTTGAATATTCTGCAATCAGAGTATATATCTCCCCTCTACAACAATCTTAATTTGGTCATTTTGTTAACTTCCAACTTCCACAACACTAACATTTATGTGATTGATTTTTTTGGATCATTACCTACTGCACAATACAAGGATGATATATTTTAAATTGGATATAGCCATTGCAATGGCCTTGATGAGTCAATTTTATGAGGCCACAGTCCTGTGTTATCCCATCAAACACTACCTAAGTGCTGTTGTGAAATAAATTTGTAGACATGATTAAAGTCTATAATCAAGTCCACATTCATCATGGGAAATTACCATATATAACCTGAGTGAGCCAGATTCCATCAATTAAAAAAGACTTAAAAGCAAAGGCTCCCAGGGGCCTAGCCATTTCTGAGGAAAAGAAATTCTACCTGTGGACAGTAGCTTAAGCTTATCCGGGAAAATCCATCTTCCCCCTTTCCTGAGATCCTGCTCCTCAGATTTCAGACTTGCCTAGCCAGCAATTTTCAACTAGGTCTTTTTTTTACTCATACAGTCATGGAAATTTTTTTTCATTTTCAATTAAATTTAAGTGACTGTAACTCAATATTAAGGCAGACATTGCTCCAAATGGATTCTCTTTATTATGGATGAATTGAGGAGGTCATTATTTTCATAGCAGATAGGAGTAAGTTTTTAATCCAGTATGTTGCTCTATTTTTCTGAATCTTTCTTACTTTACTGTTTTAAAAGAAAAAAGAGAATGCAGATCTAGTGACAATCTACTTTTGTAAATCAACCTGCATTTGTAACTGAAAAAGAAGAAATATATTTTGCTGTTGCACATGAAAAACAAAATAAAACTCTAATTTGTGTCTAACTGGCACAAAATTGAAGCCCTTATATACAAATAAATGATATTGCCTATGGATCTATAAATGAATTTTAGAAGGCCTTAGGTTTAAGAAATGGAATTGCAGTATGAAATTATGTCATCAAAATAGAAGCAGACATGCTCACTACTTTGTTATTTGACAGTCTAAATAAGTCAGAAACAAAATTTTGTAACTTTCCTAGACAAAATTTCTTACAACTATTTCTTTATATTGATAGTCTATTGTCAAGTTTTAGTTCATCCTTAGCACTTATGAGAATATAGTTAATAGTTACATCCACATAGGCTTGAAAGGTAATTTGAAAATAAGGACCCAAAGGAATCAACATTTGAAACTAAATTCAGATTTTAATTTAACAGAAAGTAGTATTCATAACAAACTTTCAAGATGAGATGAAGTCATTTTAAAAAAACTCCACTGTAGAAATGTCCAACGTTTATTCACTTTCTTATTGGGAGGTCTTTTCTTGGTTATAACAATATGCACAAATAGCCATACTTTTTGAGATTTAAAGATTATAACCCAAAATTCAAACTTTTTAAAATATGTGCCAGGTACTATTGTAAAATATATTAATTTTAAGTATAAAGGACTAGTATCAATAGATACCTAAGAAATTATTACCATGTACTTGCAATAACAAACATGTGCTTTGATATTTTTATTATTATAAAAACTGAGTTTTCAGCTTAGCAGGGCTACGGTTGTAAAGATAAATTTGAATCTAGCAGTTCTTTAAACTTAAACTAAAAATCATGATATACATCAAAATGTCAAGCAAGTGAAAACTTTTCTGTGATATATACATATTTTCATGTAAACAAAAGCGAAGATCAAAAATGACATCTCTCTTGGCAACAGAAATACATAGATTAAAAAGGTTATTTTATTTCATGCTTCCATTGAATACAACTGGCATAAGCAGAGCAATAAGAATTAGAAAGTTCTTTACATTTGCCTCACATTCCCCAAGAAATTACATACAATCAAGAAATGCCCTAGAGAGATGTCTCTAGGACAAAGTAAATGTAAGAGTAATTAGACTTCGGAAAGTTAGGACTTTCCATTACTAAGTCACACCTTTCGTTCTACTGTGGAAGTGTGGTTTATCAGAATTTTTGCCAGTGAAAGAAAGTAAAGCTAACACTCGCAAGCTCCACACTAATATACATGGCAGCCAATTAGACACAATATGTAGTTTTTCCTCCTGATGTGCATTATCCATGCACTAGGAGACAGTAACTTCCAACACAAAACAAGCATCATGAGATAAAATAGACACTGCTTAATCTGATATATTGTCTAGAGATGATTTTTGGAAATGTGCCCCAGCGACCACATGAACCAGAATCGGGCAAAATGCTTGATAAAATAAGAATGTGTATTTCTGGCTCCAACCACAGACCCTCTGTAGGCCCAAGAATTATTTGCACTGTTCAGATCCCCCAAGGAATACATAAACACTTACTAAATTTTAACCACCACTACTACAGACTATCTGGGATTTTGCTTGACTTTCGCTTTTGACCAAAACTATTTCATTATATCTTTCATACTACTTATTTAGTGGCCAGAAGGAAAAACAAAAAAAGCGTAATTTCTGATTATGTCAGTCAGCAGTGATACTTAGTAGTGGTATTTTTCCCCCTCAAGAAAATACAGGGGAATAAGCAACATGCAGTTTCGCACCGAAGTTTCTTGAAGGTACACCATAGTTTTTTTTTTAAAGTTTACAAAATGTATACATAATAAAAATGTTCAAAATTATGTGTAAACTGTCGTCTGATCAAGATTGTCCAGTGTAAAGAAAACCACTGCTCAGTGCTGTGCTGAATTCTCACAAAGGCCCGCATGGTCTTCTTCACAAACACTGAGCATCCCAGCAGCCACTCCAGAGCTCTCAGCAAAGGAGGCACTACCTACTCAGCAGCATAAAGTACTTAAAACTGTTCATGAAACAAGAACGAAGCAAACAAAGCTCAGTTTCAACTCAAGCTACAAAAGGAGTTTCAAGATCTATCAATATACAAGATGAAAGCAGATGGTGCTGACTTTCTTGACAAAGTCGAACCTCAACTATCCTTTTTAATATCTACTTGAGATCCAGTTTATATTGACAATGGCAAGCAAAATACACTTCAGCATTATACTAGAGTCTACAATAGTGTTTATGTCCTACAAGTTCCCCGTGGAAGAACATTTTACCTGTGATTAATCTAAATTACAAATTAAAGAGGTAGGTGACTATCATCTGAAGGTGATTCCAAAGCAAATTGTTGAATGATGTACTTGAGTCCTAAGACTTCTTTAGCCTGAGAATGAATTCCCAAACAGTTGCAAATTACCTGAAGAGCAAGGTTTCACAGGTCTTCCCTGATGTCAACAACTTTCCAACATCCTAACGCCTGATACTATGACACAAATCTTCAGGCATTGAATTTTTAAAAACAGTAAATGAAATAAAATGTAAAGATGTAATACTGCAGAAAAAAGAGTAAAGCTCGAGTTAGCTGAGATCTTCAAATTTCTATACTCTCATGAGGAAAGCACATCAGAGTTGAATAAGACTTTAGAGATCAATCCAGCTCACTAGTTTAATGACTGAAGAAACAGACACGTTTTTTCCAGTGGCTCACAAAGCACTAAAATTCAGAAAAATGCTATAAATCTATGGATAAATTACAGAGTTAGGTCATAATGTGGCCCAGAGGCTACACTTTCAGCCCTTATGGCCTTAGTCTGCAGTCCCACCCTGTTGGCTATTTTATGAAGCGTGCCAGTGGTCACAGAGAAGCTGACCAAAGGGCTTGAATCACCCAGGGAAGCAGTCAGTCATCAAGAGAAAAATAAATTGAAACCTCAGGGCTTCCATACTAAAACTACCTCTAGGCACAGATCAGGGTTTATCTTCCCTTGCAAAAGAAGCATTTCTGAGTACGCTCACAAACTCCAGCTCTGCTGGAGCAAACACTGGGGCAACAATGCTACTCTGCCCAGAACATTTATAATGAACATAGCTGGACAATGAGAAATTCCAGGCCTGGAAGGGCAAGATCTATATGTACCTATCTTTAATTTCTCAATAACTGTCAGTCACTTGTTTTCCAAATCAAAAAAAATAAAAATAAAAAATAATCACCTTTTTCCTTTATTTTTACATTCATCATTTTTATTTGTACCTATTTTTATAATTTAGATTAAGTTCCACCCTAAAAGGTGGCTATAACTGATTTCATGTGGCCTATCACCAGATTTTTTGTATTACTTTGCTATCTTTTTGGTAATGAAAAATGAAGCTATTTTCAAAAAGAAGGTATTAGTTGTAAAACTTTTAGAAAATATGCAGCCTTCCCTCTTGACTACGAAACACCTGAGCTGAAAGAGGCATCTGTGCAGCAGTGAAACAGCACAGTCTCAGGATTTCAGAGATGTGCGGATCCACTAACCACTAAACCTGGGTAGGACTTTTAGTCCCTCTGAGATTTGCGGTCTTCATCTGAAAATGAAAAATGGCGTCTATCTCACCCTGGAGAGTAAAGAGATGCCTAGTGCCTGGCACACAATCGGTGTTCCTAAGTACTACTCCTTACCCTACTACACTGGTGAGAACCCTGAAGTAAAGCGAATTGCCACAACCCGCACCGGCAACCCTGTCCGCTGTGCTCCTCTCTGAAATTTGCACGGGTGCTCTGTCTCTTAGATTTTCCTCTATTGCTCTGAAAAGTTGCTACTGTGCTCAGAAAGTTTTATATTTTACATTCTTTTAAAATTGTACATGCAGACTAAACGTTTTAAAAATACTATTCCTAGAAATGACAATGCACATGCTTCCTGAAGCATTATTTCATGTATAAAAACAATTCAGAAAAATATGACTGAATTCATGTGTACATTGCTTCTTAAAGTGCACCAAAGCAAATAGTAATGACCTTTAAAATGTCATTAACCTCCTTGGGGTATTTTTTAAGTAAAAGTAAATATTTATTAACTAAGATGTATGAAAGGTTTTGGCTCCAATGTAATGGCAAAAAAAGCAGCAGTGGCTCCAGGAAAAAAAAAAATTGATAAGCTCAACTAAGACAACTTAGCAGCATACGAAACACCTACAATTCAAGGTAACTGCAGGCTCAATAAAGCAGAATCCTGATTCCTGCTACAAAAATAAAACCAGTCAACAAAACACACAAAGAGAACTATCTCCCCACGCTAAATCAAGGATTTTTCTTGAACCCTGGAGGTAACTTTTGTGAACATGTTCCTATCGTGTATCCTTGGTAACATGTCTACAACTAATTATCTTTCATTCTTTATACCACACACACACACACACACACACACAGAGTCTATAAAAAACAATAAAGTTTGAGTGAAGAAGCCATGTGAAAAAAATTTAAACTCAGTGAAGAACAATCATCACCTAAAATTTCAGATAGTTCCAATATTCACACCACTGTCCGATGTTCCCCACACACATAGACAGCACTGGGGCGGATTCGTCGCCTTGTGTGACCAGGGAGCCGTGGCAAAAACTTGAAGGATTTAGGCATCATTTCCAAGCAGGCGTCATGGAATTTCTTAATCCTCCAGTAGTAGATCAGTGGGTTCAATGCAGACTTGAGGTAGCAGAGCCAGAGTAGCCAGGTGCTAATCTCAAAAAAGTTGTGCTTATAGTAAAAGTGCTCACTGAATGTTGCCACAAGGCTGTAAGTGGTGAATGGGGCCCAGCAAACAATGAAAACAGCAAAGAGAATCAAAATGGTGGTGAAGGCACGTGTTTTAAAGCCCATATCAATGCTCATCTGGAATGGTCTCTGCAGACTCATGAGACCCAGCTTGCTGGCTTGGCTGAGGCATATACCTTCCGGGTAGCTATGGATCCTCAAGGCATTGTGTCGAAGGGTATTGAGTATGCCCATGAATGAGTACAGTATCACCAGGAAAGGTATGAAGAAAGAAATGAGGGAAATCAAAATCACATATGCCTGATACCCCGGATTGGTTGTGTACCCAAACACACACTGGGGGGCTCGGGAAGGTATCTGTAACTCAGGGTTTCCTACAGCCAAAGGAAAAGCTATACAAAAAGAAGTTGCCCAAGAAACTGCAATAAGAACCTTAGCCCTATATGGGTTTAATTTATCCTGCCTCTGGACAATAATAAGGAACCTATCAATGCTAATGATAAGCAGGATGGTGACTCCCTCTATCACAAACAACCAGAAAAACATAGCAGATAGCCTACAGAAGAATTTCCCAAAAATCCACCTGGTAGTAAGAATAGTTACCAGGGCGAAGGGCATGTTCAGCACTGCAAGCAACATGTCTGCAAAAGCCAGGCTGGCAAGGAGAATATTAATTGCAGATCGCATGGCAGCTTTTTGGTAAACCATGAGGCAAACAACCAAGTTCCCAAGAAAAGACACAAATAGAATAAATATCATGACAGCAGAAAGTATGATCTGGAGAGGCAAGTTTATGCTCTTAAAAACTGCTGGTGTTGGGGACACAGCTGTGCTATTCACTGTCAAGGAACTCAAACCAGTGGGAACCATGGTTTCAAAATTATATCTAAGTAGTGGACCAATACTGGAATGCTGGAATGGTGGAGGGACTGTCATATTCATGTAAGAGTTTTCATAGACTACAAATGTCGTGTTGGATGCCCCGGTATGGGAAGCTGTCAACACTGGTGAGAAGACCATGGTTTCAGGAGGATGGAAGGTGCAGGCAGAGATGTGGGAGTTCTTCAAGCATTTCAAGACAGAACAGCAGTATCAGGTTCCTCGGATGGACTTGGAAACACATTCTGGAAAATGGACAAGGAGTTCCATCTTCCACAGGAGTTCTTATGCCTGAAAACAAGCCCAAAACATGAAAGGTAAATGAGAAATGAACTTCATAAATAACATTAGACTTACCTTTGATCATGAAAAATCCCTTTTACTCATTAAAAACATTTGTCTCCAGTCTCGTCAGCACTAAAATAATGTTGTTCTGTTGTTTTGCTTTTAGTCAACCATGCCAAAAATTTCATGACATTCATATAAGAAATAAAACAGGATCTCAGAATGTATTACTGTCCCAAAGATAAAGGCTGTGATTTATTAACTTTCATTTTTAAATATACAGTAGTATAGTGCCTATCACTATTAATACATATTTTATTATCATATTCTCCTAACTGCTAATTTTTAAATAATTCTTTGATATACATTCTTACTCCATTTTTACATAAGCACAAAGCTGGTTGAAAAAATACCTTAAACTCAGCTTCTTGTTTAACACATGATAATTACACACTCCACATCCTACATTCTTATAAGTAGACCCTAGGGTATTTCCAGTTAAGGTCTGAAAATATTTCTTGTTTTCCTTTCCCCTTTGCTTCCTTTCCTTCCTTTGCTCTGTTATTCATTCCTTCCTCTCTTCCTTCTTTCTCCCTCCTTTCCTTTATTTTCTTATGTTTCTCTCAAAAGTTCCCAGATCAATCATCCTGGAAAAGTCACTTAGGAGAAGAAGAAAACGGGTTGCTCATATTTGCAAACATTCTTTTTCTAAAGCTCTCTTCTCTTCTCACACTCTCTCTTGTCTCCCGAGCCCATTCATTTTCATCCTTTCTTTTCTGATATGTACAATTCTGTCTTCTCTATTTCTTCCCCTGAAACTTCAGCTTATATTAACAATTTGACAGAACATGTTAACCAGATAATAAAGTTGGGGTTGGTAAAGAAGATGGCTAGAAAAATATTCAAGTGTGAAGAATCTCTTCCAGAAAACTTACAAAAATGTGTCTTGTCCCCAAAAGTTTATCTTCTTTCATGTATTCTTACCTCCAACTTCTTATGAATTTCTGCAGCCCTCAAGTTTTATGTAAAGGACTTTCTTAATCTACTATCTTACCAACCCATTTTGTGATATGAGTTCTTCTGCAAGTCTTCACTAGAGAGGTGACATCTTTACAAAGGACTTTCTATATTTCTGCGTAGATTCCTTCAATTCTTAAGAGACTAAAAAGGTAAATACACAGTAATTTAAAACAACAGTGTTCTCACAATCTGTCATTAACTTTTCGGGTAATGGCCAAAATTTCACCTTTTTGTTTCTTGCTATATGGGGAGATCATTTGTGAGCTTCAAGATTCAGCAGTGTAGCCAGATCACAGGCTGTCTACCGTATTTACATCTCTCTCCATTTATATCTCTACCTTTATGAAAATAGGTGATTTATTTATACAAAATTTCAATTTTACTACTTTTCATTTTACAGCTTCTTTATCCTATTGGATTTTATCGATCCTCACACAATCCTTTGGAAATGTGATCATACCTGCATAAGATGCCTCACTAAGCAAGTGGTTCTCAAACTTTATAAGCACAAAGGGGCCAGAGGGGAGAGAGCATAGACACTAAAAGGCTTTCCACCATGATCATACCAGTCTCTTTAGAAATACATAAGATACATGTTATTAAAAATAAACACTATGGGGGCTGGGGATTTAGCTCAGTGGCAAAAGCGCCTGCCTGGCAAGCGCAAGGTCATGAGTTCGGTTCCCGGTACCAGAGAAAAAACCAAAAATAAAAAAATAAAAAAATAAAATAAACACTATGCTTACTACATAAATCAGCCTCAATACAAGTCTGCCTCCAGAGAAAAATAGACAAATGGTATCTTAATCCTACTGTAACTGCTAAAAGTAAGTTTGACCAATTGTGTTAAAACATTTATTTAAAATTGTGTTTAAAAACAGCGTCATGCACCTTTACCATCCAATGTTTAAAAAAGTGGCTAATAACCAGGGAACTAAAACCAAACACTTAACAGTGTCTACCGAACAATCAGGAGGGATGAATATAGAGCCATATCTCCTACCCTGTCACTAAGATAAAATAAAAATGGATCAAAAAACTGAATACAAAAACAGAAACACCAAACCTGCTGAAAGACACAATAGACAAGACTGGGTGCATTCAAAGCGACATGGCTGTAAACCGAAAGATACAACAGAGAAAACACTTGAAGACACAGACATATACAAGCACTTTATGACAGAACTCCAACTGCACAAGAACACCAAGAATCAACAAATAGGATTATATTAAGCCAAAAAGCTCTGCATAGCAAAGAAAACAATCAACAGAGTAAAAAGAGAACTTGCAGAATGAGAAAAAAATTTTGCCAGAGGCTCCTCTGATAGAGACTAATATCTAGACTAGATAAAGAACAAAATAGAGCCCACAAATGACCTAATCAAAAAAAAATGGGCAAAGGAAATGAATAGATACTTCTTGAAAAAAGTACAAATGGTAATGAAGTACATGAAAAAATGTTCCGCATCTTGCCCTTGCCCATAAGAGAAATGCAAATGCAAACAACTCTGAGAGTCCATCTTGCTCCAGTAACAATGGCTATCATCGAGGACACAAAAACAACAAATGCTGACAGGGTGTGGAGAAAAATGGTGCCCTTCTGCAGTGCTGCTAGGAATGCAAACTAGTAAAACCATTATGAAAATCGGTATGCAGACGCTTCAAAAAGAACTAAAAGTAGACATTCTACATGACACAGCTATATTTCTCCTGAGTATTGTTCCAAAAGAGTTAAAGCTATCTTACTACAGCGATTCATTCATATCCAGAATTATAGCAGTGTGATTAACAGTAGCAAAATACCAGAAATAATCTAGATATCCAAAAGAAAATAATTTATACTCAATACTTCCAGCAAAACATGCTCTGAGGAAACTGAAACATCCTGTAGCCCCTTAGAGAAGCTCTGTGCACCAGTCACCACAGGAAGCATGGGGAAGTTAAAAAGAGGAACTACTCAAAATCTGGGCCACCAGGACCCACTCCACACCTAGGTCTCCTTTCCGAGTCATCGCATGAAAATACACTGATCCATTTAAGAAGCCCACATCTATGGCACAACTAAACCTGATAAGCACCAAACTCAAAAGTAACAGAGCAGGGCTGACAACAGTGAGATTGAGTGTATGTACAAACATTCATTGTCAGAACCTAGCTCATTCTCCATCCTCTTCCCAGACTGTCAGAGATCAGGCACCTGCTGCCCATGCAGGAGACTGAAGAGTTCACTAGTCAAGTAACTAAACCGCATTAGAGCAAAGACTAGATAGTAACATTTGATGGTACCCCAAGAAAAGTGCCAGCTTTATGCCTAGTCACCCTGTACAACAGAAACCCAACCCTGTGAAACCCAGCCTTCAACACAGAGCTTCTAAATAGTTTCAGTGTCTCAGTGTTTGATTTCTCAAAAATAAAATTTATGAAAGGTTTACGCAAAAGCAATTTTGTAGCTTAATATTAAAGAAAAGAAATGGAACGCATATCAGGGACGATAGCATGCACAAACAGAATAACCCCTTTGCCCTTGTCACTGTAGGGTGCTCTGTACTCCTTGCCCTTTTACTTCACTGGACTGTAACTTCTTTACCTCTTTTTTTTACTGAGAAGTGTAGTGACCAAAGTAGTGCTTTTCAAAGCTCATCGTAGCTACTTTAGAAAATTCTTTCCTCATGATACTTCTCTTCAAACACCATTATGATATGATGTATCTTTGAATTATATGCAAGACTAAATAAAAGCTTTATACTTAAAATTTATATTTCCAAAGGAAATGGAATAGCAGCATGAGGGCAGAAACAATTAGCTTAGGTTGATTATATAACAGTCCTGACGTTAAGTCTAATCTAGACTAGCTTTTACATGCCATTTGCTGGAAATGCTTACTACATTTTCCAGGAAAAATTTAACATTATGCTTGAGGTGTGTATATATGTTCATACATTCACTTGCATATGTATAGATACGCAGCACATAAATAAGCAACATAAAATTCATATATGGCAGAAGTCATTGGATTTATACTTTGTCTCTTATAGTATCCACAGAAACAACATAAGGATTTATCAGATTAACGATATTAAGTCAAGTGTTTTCTGTTTGCAGTAAGCAAGAATGTCATTATGGGGACTATAGTGGCCAGAACAGGCAGTGGAGGTTGTAGTACTCTGCAAGTCCTCTCCCCTCTCAGTTCTTTCTGCTACTACAGTGCTTTAGATTATACTTCCCTACAAGGAACAGATTGATTTTTATTAATCTTATTTTCTTCTATGGCTACTATGTGTTGTCACAGTCCAAGAAATACTTGGAAAATTAAACTCCTTTGTGCTATGTCTTATGAGATCAGGGATGTTTATTTATTCATTTTAACATTACTTATGATATATACACATAATTTTAAATAATCAAATAAGTTTTAAAATGATAAACTTTCCTGCTTTTAAAAGTACTCATTTTTAATTAGTTGAAAGTTGTCTTAGTTACTTCCTCATTGCTAGAACAAAATACTGGATACCCACAAGTTAAAGGCAAAAAGGTTTATATTTTAGCTCACAGTTTGTAGAGGTTTCAGAGCATAGTCAGCTCTAAGGCAAGGCAGCATGGCAGAGGGCATGGAAGAAGGCATGGTAGGCAGAAGCAGCAGCACAGAGCCTCCCATTCTCCTTTTATTCCATCTAGGTTACAAGCCTATTGGTTGGTGCCACCTACACTCAGCGTGGGCCTTCCCATTATCCACCCCAAGAACTATGCTTGATGTAGACCACTATGAAGCAGCCCCAAGCAGGATTTAATTAACTGGCTTTTCATGTTCACTTGTGAATCTGTCCAAGGCTTAGGCTCCTTGTCTGGAAATGGGTGGCGGACTCATAGTGAGTGAACTTCTGTGAGTCATTAATCCCTACTAAAACCTGTAATGGCAGATGAAGCTGGAAAACCTCAAAGGATAAAAGAAGATCACAGCCAAGGACACCTGGATCAGATCTCAACTA